TTCACAGATAAGAAGACTCAATATTGTTAAAATGTCAGTTCTTCCCAAATTGATCTATAGAAACAATACAATTGTGATACAATACCACTGAGTTATTTTGTGGGTATTGACAAATCCATTTTAAAGTTTATACAGAGAGGCAAAAGACTCTGAAAGGCCAATATACTCCTGAAGAACAAAGTTTGAGGACTGACACTACTGACCTACAAAGCCTTAGTTTAAAGCTTTAGTAATCAATTCAGTGTGGTATTGGTGAAAGAATAAACAGATCGATGGAACAGAATACAGAGCCCAGAAATTGAGCCACCAAAGTCAACTGATCTTTGACAAAGGAGCAAAATCAATTTAATGGAGAAAATACATCTTTCTTTTCAACAAATGGCATTGGAATAATAGACCTTACAGCTTTCACAAAATCAACTCAAAGTGAATCATAAGTCTAAATGTGAAGCCTGAAACTATCAAACTTCTAGAAGGAAGCATCGGAGAATATGTGGGTGACCTTTGGTTTGACAGTGAGTTCTAGCTACAATATCAAAAACATGATCCATGAAAGACAAAATTGATAAGTTGGACTTCATTAAAACTTCCCTGAGAAGGACATTGTTAATAGAATGAAAATGCAAGCCACAGTTTGGGAGAAAATGTTTGCAAAGACTGTGTGATAAAGGACTGATGTCCACGATATACCAAGAGCACTTAAAATGCAACAAGGAAATAACCACTTTAAAGAAGGGGCAAAACATCTGAACAGGTACCTCACCAGAGAAGATAAACAGATGCAATGAGCATATGAAAAGATGCTTAATATCATCATATCATTTGGGAATTGAAAGCTAAAATAAAATGAGATATTGCTGTACATGTAATAGAATGGTAAAATTTAAAAACCTATCAGATGTTGGCAAGATTCAGAGCAACAGGAACTCCTTCATTGCTGGTGATTCAAAACCATATAGCAACTTTGGAAGACAGTTTGGCAGTCTCTTACATAGCTAAGCGTAAACTTACATATCTAGCACTTATGCTCCAACTGAGTGGAAAACATTCACCTGTATACACATATTTATAGCCATATTATTCATAATCACTTAAAATTGGAAGAAACCCAGATGTCCTTATATAAATGATTGGATAAACAATGATACAGCCATACAGTGGAATATTATTCAGGAATAAAAAGCGATTAGCTGTTTTCTGACTAAAAGATAGAGACATATATATGATGAAGAAAGCTGATCTGAACAGTTACATACTGTGTGAGTCCAGTTATATGACACTCTGGAAAAGGCAAGACTGGAGACATTGAAAGGACCAGTGGTTGCCAAAGATTCATGAGGAAGATGGGTGGGATTAGCAGGACAAGCGCAGGTGGTTTTTAGGGATAAACCATTCTATTTGATACTATAGTGGTGGGTATACTTCATCATGCATTTGTCAAAAGCCATAGAACTGTACAATACAGAGAGTGAACTTTGTCATAAACTATGGACTGTAGTTAATGACAATATATCAATATAAATTCATGAATTGTATTGTTACCACACTAATGCAGGATGTTAGTAGTAGGGGAAACTGTCTGTTCATGTACCTTTCTCAAGATGGCAGTAATATATGGGAACTCTACTATCTGCTCTTGTATTTAATAAATTTTTAAAAGAGGAAATAAGCATATGTTAAAGAAATGCTGTTAAAACCATGTATTTTATACATGTGCAAAACATATTTTATAGGGCATAACAGAGTAACTTTAGAAAATTGAAAAGGCAAGGGGAAGCCATGTAGTAATCATCTAGTAATGAATGATTAAAGAATGACAGCTTTTTCTGAGATGGGAATGAGAAAAAGTTGTGTTTCATTACCATTGTTGGTACTGGAGACAATCACAGCCACTTCAGTAAGGCAGGAAAAAGGATAAAAGTATGATCATTGAAAAGGAAGGAAGGAAATTTTCATTATTCTCAAATGTATTGATTTTGTTTGTAGAAAATCCTTAGAATATATAAATGAATTTGGAAATGTTGCTATATGCAAGGTAGTATATGAAAATTAACTATATACTAGCAACAATTAGAAAATGACATGTAGAAAATTCCATTTTAATAGTAACAACATCAAATAGCTGGGAGGGGAGAGCAAATCTAAAAATGAACAGCATCTATGTGGAGAAATACAAAAATTACTATGAGATAGTAAAAAAGTCCTAAATAAATAGTGGAGTATATCATGTTTGTGGGCTGGAAGACTTGCCACTGTAAAATTTTTCCCAGAGTGTCTATAAATCCAGCATAATCCCAGTAAGATTTTAGAAATTTTTTTCTGTGAAATTTGATATGCTGATTCTAAAACACAAGCAGAAATTGAAAAACTGAGAGTAGCCAAGAATAACCACGATAATCTTGATGAAGAAAAAGTTGAAGGACTGAAGTTACTAGACATCAACATCTTTAAGCTTCATAATTAGAACAGTCTTACTGCCACAGAGGCAGAGAGACCAGTGGAGCAGCAATGCATCCACTCCTGTATACCCTGTATGTATGTATTTGTAACCAAGGTGTCCTTTCAGTGCTGTCCTAATGAAGGGTGGTTATCACATTTGAGGTAGGAATCAATTTCCAAAAAAAAAAAAGTTTTGAATTTTTAAGTTGATAGGAACTTTGTGTATTTAAGTTGATAGGAACTATCTTTTCATGGAAGCAAGCCCAAGTTTTCATTTAAAAAATGGAAAATGTGAGGTTTTGAAGTTTGATGCAAATTCAGTATTTAACCTCTTCTTTAAAACTCTTACCCCTTGACCTAACTCTGTTTCTGTGGCCAGTGTTCCAGACTCTGTCATTCCAGGCATTCATTTTCTTCATTGAAACAGGATTCAGGAATTTGGCTTACTGGGCAGTTTGGAGTTGTAGCATGCCTACGTGTGCAGATGCAACTACATATAATCGTGATGTGGGGAGGATAAGATAAACAGTGAAGGCAGTCTGCTTCTTTAGCAACTGCAGCATTGGGTAGTGAGCATGAGATAAGAACGTAAACCTATGGCAAAAACCACTACAATATTGTAAAGTAATTAGCCTCCAACTAATAAAAATAATTGGGAGAAAAAAAAACGTAAACCTGTGTTGGCTCTCACTTGTGTGAGCATGTGAGCATCTTGTGTGAGTTAAGTGTGAGTCTGGCTTTTATAGATGCAGTTTCCATACAGCACGCTTACTCAGCACAGGCTGCCTCATCCGCGCTGCAGTTGAGGAGCATCCAGTCTAGTCCTGTGGGAACAGTAGCTGTAGCCATGTGTAGCCTCACGGCCATGGGCTGTCAAGCTGCACTGCCTGGGTTCAAATTCCGGCTCTGCTCTTTCTCTGTGGCCTTGGGAGGTGCTCAGTGTTCTTATGTGTAAAATGGAGAGCACAATAGCACCTCATAGCATTGTTGGGACAATTAAATGACTGACGTAAACAGTGGCTAGCATATACTTTTCAAGCACACAGTTACCAGTGTCGTTATCACAACTGAGAGGTGGTAGAGATGTGGTCTCCAAGGTGGCACGTTGTTGAGGGATGTTTTCAAGGGAGACTTAGCTAAGCCCTTTCTACCTTCAGCTTGTGGTTTAGAGCGGATGCTGCTGTGAACCGTGATCCTCCTGTAGCACTCCCGTGTCGCTTTCTCCAGTCCTTGGCCTTGCAGTGAGCTCATGATCAGCTGTGGCTCACTGGGGAATGGTCACATGGCACAGAACACAGACAGTTGAGTTGGTGGGGCAAGACATATCACCATGGAAGCAATGTACTGTCGGTGTACAGACACCCTGAAATATGTTTATTGTATATGTGTATATATATTTGGTACACATTTTCCCCCACCAGCATTTTCCTATGTACAAAGTTCCATTGCATCTTTTAAGATTAACGCGGCCCTTAGCTTCTCTCCTTTGCTTTTCACTAGAAAATGATAGGAGTCTATATAGTAGAACAGTATCTGCACCTTCACAAGCCCTGTGGTGCTGCTCGTGGGTGCTTTATTGTAGGTGCAATGCTCTGGTGGTTTGTGGATCTACATCTTCCCCAAGCCCGTGGATTTTCAACTCACCGCTGAAATTACTTTTGAAGAATTTTTAAGAACTTTACAGGTGGCTGTTTGCCGTCTCTCTCTCCTCCCCTTTCCACACCTGCAGGCACAGACTGTCCTACTGAACTTGCGGTGCTGTGGGGATTGACACCCCATTGTACCTGCCTGCACCTCCACTCGCTCTTCCTCTCCCAGGAAAGCGGCTCTTGCTGTCAGCTGCTGCTGCTGAGCGCTGAGGCACACGTGGCGATCACAGGGCGCTGTCGTCTGCAGCGCCGCTCTGCTGCCAGGAGGCCGGGCGCTCCCCACCCGACCGCGCTGCAGCGCCCACTGGGTTTTAGTTTACTTCTCCCTCCTTTTCTGTTTCCCCATCTTTCCTAGCTTCTAGAGCTTCTTGGCTTTTGCTCAGGAAAAACTGGTCATTTATAGACCTCTCCAGGTAACGAGCTCCATCTTTCTGCCCTGTGAACAAACAGAAAGCAAGTGGGCTTTATCATGGAGCTTTTCTTGGCCGTATTGTTTGAGCCTCAGGCACCTGAGCCTGTTTGGTGCATCTCCTGCTGAAAGGGGAGTTTGCACTTGTGGCTAGGGCCCTGCTCTCACTAGGCTCAGTGTCTGGTGGATGAGATTGGTCTTTGAATAGAACATGTTATGACCTACTGTCCCATGTCTGTGATTTAGAACAAGAGAAATAAAAGTTTAATGAGTTCTGGTTTCAGGGAATTTGTGTAATATTTCTCGAACAACTTTGGAATGTGCAAACATTTAATATTTCACAATAGTGAGGTAAAATTATAGTGCACTTGTGTATTATGAATTGAGAAATCTTGAAAAAATTATTAATATGCAGATGGCACACTAGATTTTGTCTTTCAACTATTAATATTCTAAAATGTTAACACCATCTCATTTTTGTGCTTTTCCCCCTTTCTTCCTAGAATATTTTCCTTCTTGGATATAGTAACTTTGTGCCGATGTGCACAGATTTCCAAGGTAGAGTATTAACCAGATTTGTAATCAAGAAATAATCATGCAAAGCAATTAACCTCCAATTAAAAGAAATAAAAAATAAATTTTAAAAAATCAGGTTTTATTAGAATGAAGATGAGTTTTCACTCAAGTAAACAGTTAAAAATTGAAATGTCATCTTTTATATTTTACATAACAGTATTATCATAATTCCACATTTGATTATTGCCTTAATATCTATTAAGAATAAATGTTTGGAAATAGAAAAGTTGAATCAAGACTTTAACAGTCTCAATAAATTTATCTTTTTCACTCTCATCCCTCCCAACTTCCCAGGCTTGGAACATCTTAGCCCTGGATGGAAGCAACTGGCAAAGAATAGACCTTTTCAACTTTCAAACAGATGTAGAGGTAAGTTAACCAGTTTTAGACTAAAGATTTTTTTCTTGCCCTTTTGTTTATCACCTTTAGATTTAATATTAAGCAGCCAAGGTGGAATAGAGAATAAAAACACCTGGAAGGTATTTGCATACTTCAAGACCAAAATTCTGTTTGTGTTTTTGCTTTTATCAGTAACAGAATTTTACTTTACCACCTTATTCATGTTTACAGTCTGAGCTTTACCACTCAGCTTTTCAAAGCCTCACACCTGTATCATTAAAACTTGGTTCAGTGCCTTAGTCTTGGGCGACTCTTGACAAGTATTTATTGATCTGAGAACTCCACTGAGGGTTCTGATTCAGCGCTAGCGATGGAGGCACGGCAGGGGCAGGAGGGAGGCTGGGGATGGAGCTGTCCCTCCCGCTCGGCCACGTAGGGCGCGCACTCTCAGTGCCCTGTGTTTATTGTTTGTAAAATAAGGCAGGGAAGTAATCTTCAGAGCCGTTATAATTCCAGGATTCTGGTATATTTACCTGGAAATATGTAAATGTCTTCATTTAAGGATGGTAAACCACCTGAGAAGGAAATGGCATCCCACTCCAGTGTTCTTGCTTGGAAAATCCCATGGAGAGAGGAGCCCGGTGGGCTGTAGTCCATGGGGTCACGAAAGAGTTGGACATGACTTAGCAACTAAGTGACTAAACAGCAACACTATTCAATACTGCTTATTCCCCTACTTGAGAGTACAGTGCTTGTGAATTCTTAGGCAATCACAATTAGATATTTTCCTGCTTAATTTGAATACACTTGAGCCTTTCTAGAGTTGGGAGTTCTGATTTGTGTCAAATTAACCAAATATGGAATGTAAAAAAATACTCAAAACTCCCTAGGTTAAAGATTTAACCTGGCAAACGGTTAGTAATATAATGTCACTTTTCTTCTGAGTCCTTCGAGTATATCTGCCAGTTAAACTAATAAAGAAGCTATTAATAAACTATTAATAAAAAAAGAATAGTAAACCAGATCAAATGAGAAAATTTTTCTTAAAACAACTTTAATACTAAATATGCATTTCTAACCAAAAAGAAACAGGGAAGTAAAAAAGAGCATTACATGTAGTAACTGTCTAGAGTACTATTTTAAGGGTTTGGAGATGCTAAAGTTTTATTATCTGCCCATTGTTAGTAAAACCTTACTGATTTCTAGTTTAGTCAACTCAGTGTAGTGGAATTGTGTTTTAAATCAGTTACTCGTGTAGCATGTTCACATGTTTTTATTATATATTTTGTGTCTTTTTTAATGGATAAGGAAGTATGTTTAACAGGGAGATGGTGTTACCAAGAACCAGTGACCAGATGTGGAGGCCCGTCACCTCCTTCTCTGGTCACTTGCTGCTTGCCTGTCTCTTTGTGGTTGTTCAGTTGCTCAGTCGTGTCCGACTCTTTGCGACCCCACGGACTGCAGCCTGCCAGGCTTCCCTGTCCTTCATCATCTCCTGGAGTTTGCTCAGACTCATGTGCATTGAGTCGGTAATGCCTGTCCTAGACCCGTCTAAACCAGTGAAGCAGACGCCGCTGCAGGAGGCAGGGCTGAGCACAAGGTCGACCACACTCGGTCTCCACACAGGTTCCTGTGGTCTGAGCTTGGCAGGGGGCAGGGGCCTCAGGTTTTCCCAAGCTCCCGGGAAAGATAAACTCTAATTCTTGGCTTGAACTCTGGTCCCTGAGTCAGGGATTCTTTAAAACTCCTTCCAGACTTAATGATTACAACAGTGCCCCTCCCAAACATGCTGACATATATTTCCCCTTCAAACTGACAGTCTATAGAGCTTTGTTCATTATGTTTACTTAGCGATGTTGAGGAGAATATTAAATTCCAAAAATTGTGGTCATTTCGTCTGGGCAAAGGAGAGTCATTGTTTTTTAAAAAAATTGTGAACATTTTTTCCTGAGGGTTTTTTTTTAAAATCATGTCTTCAGTTTTCTTTGATTTTTCCAAACTGCAACATTTTGGAAGGCACATAAAAAGTTTTTCAATTCAGATATTAAAAAATACTATTTCTGGACTTCCCTGGCAGTTCAGTGGTTAAGACTCTGTGCACCCAATGCAGTTCCCTGGTTAGGGAACTAAGATCCTGTATGCCACACAGCATGCCAAGGAAAAAAATGCTATTTCAAGTAAATATCACTACCTTGTGCATTATTTGACTTCACTATTTTAGCTGACTGCAGCTGTATAAAAGCATTGCAGAAATACTTGAGTACTTCCACTAACGTGAAAGTGTTAATTGCTCAGTCATGTCTGACTTTGTGCCACCGCATGGGCTGTAGGCCACCGGGCTCCTCCGTCCGTGGAATTCTCCAGGGAAGAATACTGGAGTGGGTTGCCATTTCCTTCTCCAGGGGATCTTCCCAACCCAGGAATTGAAACGAGATCTCCCACACCAGGAAAGCCCCTCTTCTACTAAAGGAGAGACCAGGTCATGGCTCACCACATGTGTAAAGAGCTACTTGTGAAGAATATAGTCTAATACTAATTAGTCCCCTCTTTGGGCTCCCACTGTGAATCCAGGTTGAATTCTACACCAAGTATGGGGCCTCCCGTAGACAAATAACCGGTCCTTCCCTCATAGATCAGTCAGTGAAGAATCTGCCTGCAATGTAGGAGACCCGGGTTTGATTCCTGGGTCAGGAAGATCCTCTGGAGAAGTGAATGGCAACCCACTCCAGTATTCTAGCCTGGAGAACCCCATGGACAGAGGAGCCTGGTGGGCTACAGTCCATGGGGTTGGAAGAGTCGGACACGACTTAGCGACTAAACCACCACCAACCGTGGACACTAAATAGCACCTCTGGGTGATGACCCAGGCAAGCATCCCCTGGATAAACTCATGGTCTCAGGTTCATTTCTTTGGGACAGAAGTGGATCTGTTGAGAGAAGAGGGAAAGTGCCAAGGAGCAGGGCTGGTGAACCTAGAGTTTTCACCACCTGCCAGGCGCTGTTCTAAGTACTTTCTGTGTATTAACTAATTTAGCCTTCTCAGAAACACCAAATGGGAGAAACTGAGGCGCAAAAAGTTTGAATACCTTCCCCAAGGTCACTCACCTAGCAAGAAGAGAGAGTAGATACCTGGAACAATGGATTTCATGATTTGAATTTCAAAGAAAAGGCAGAACAGCACATGCTGGTGGCAAATGTGCATCGGGCCTCTCCTTGAGCATCGCTGTCTCCTGAATAAGTGTCATTTCCCTGATGTTTAGCCTTTTCCAGACCTTTGAAAGCTGAACATTTTGTTGTCTTCATGGTTGTTTAAAGAGCCTGTGAGGCCAAAAATGAGAAATAACCAAATAGTCTTATCTGAAAGTCGTAAGTCCAAGGACTCCTCTGTTAGGCCTTACTTTTCTGTCACGCCTTTCTTTCTAAAATGCCTACCTGTAGCATACTGATGGCTATTACACAGTGTCACTGACTAGAATTTGCATTTGAAAAGGATTTGCTTTTTTTTTCTCTCTCATTTAGAAACATTGGAACAGAAAACTCTGAATGTAATTTTTTTATTCCAATATAAAAACTTCTACTCCAAAGACGGAAGAATAGGAAGTTTGTATAAGTGTGACTAACTTGAAATGGAGAAAACAGAATGATGTGCTCTATTTGTAGTGTTGGTATGGAGCTATTTTTGCAGTTTTATTCAGTGTTTAGATATTTATCTTGGATTTCCAAGTCATAGTCTTTTTTTTTTTTTCCCCTCCCACTGACAGAAATTTATTTTAAAGGTGTCTGGAGTTTTGGCTCAAAAACTAATTATTAACATAGGTAGGACTCAAGAAAGCATAGATAAAGCCACCAGCAATATCAGAATTTGGATTTTCAACTTAAGTTGTTAGCCAGCCTGTGTGAATCTTGCTTCTGTAATACTGTGGTTTGATGTGTCCTAGTGGACCCTTCCTGCTTAGAGCTCAGTGTCAAGGTGGCTGTTTTGTAAAGTAAGGATGATAGTATTACAGATGAAACAAAATGGCCTTTTCAGTGTCTGCTCCCTCCTGGGTGTGGTTATCATGCAGAGGACACAGCTTTTAGAGTCACAGAAACTCGTTATAAACCCCAACTCTGCTACTCAGTGAAGTGCAGCATTGGCAATTTAACCATTTACTTTATTTACTTGCAAAATGAAGGTATTGAATCCACCCTGTATTAGTCTGGATTCTCCAGGAAAACAGAGCCAATAAGATTTCGTGTGTATATAGATACAGATGTAGAGATTCCTTATGAGGAATTGGGTCATATGATGATGGAGGCTGAGAAGTTCCCAGACGTGCCGTCTGCAAGCTGGAGGCCCAGGAGAGCTGTAGCTCATCTGAGTCAGAAGGTCTGTGAGCCACCAGAGCCAGTGTGTGAATTCCAGTCTGAAAGCTGGCAAGTTCGAGACCCAGGAGGAGTTGATGTTTCAGCCCAGGTCCAAAGGCCAGAAAAGAGCTGTGTCTGGCTCAGCCATCAGGCAGGAGTTCTCTCTCAGTCAGCGCTTTTTGCTTTGCTCACCCCTGCTGGGGAGGACAATCTGCTTTACTCAGCCTGCTATTCAGATGCTAATCTCATCCAGAAGCCCTCACAGACAACACCCAGAGTGATATTTGGCCAGGTCACAGGCTGGCTCTCTGTCCCAGTCCTGTTGACCATAAAATTAATCATCGTGAGTTCACCCCTTGTCAACGTGCACCCACAGGCATGTCCATAAACCATACTTGATCTCCACATAAAGACAGTATAAACTCATGATTCCACCTAATGTGATTCAACTATCCAGTGTACAATCAAAAATACACTTAAGCCCCTCCTCAGAGGAGGAGGTAGAGTCCTAGAGTGATACTCGTTCTTCTTGATACTCCGCGCCTTCAGTACTTGAGTGCAGAATCGAAGGAACTTAGATACTGTGACATAAAGTCAGCACATCTCATGTCACACAGAAAGGGGATGAGAGAGGAAAGGAAGAAATACGTCTGTTCTATACACACACATTCATAACAAAATAGGGAGAAAGTACAGCAGTTACAGTCCTAATCTCTCTAACTGGTCCTGTGGTCAGAGTTGGCACTCATAACTACCTTCTTCCACACATTCTGTATTCTCCTTGTCTTCAGCCCCTCAGCTGGTTGTGGTTCCTCAGTTGGTGGAGTGACCCAAACGGCCATTCCCAAAGCCATGAACAAGTCCTCTTTGGACTGGCTTCAGTTTCCCGTTGACTTTAATCCTAGAGCATCTTAATACTGAGAGACATTCCAAGGGATTTCCTGTATTTCAGACATCCTCTTCCTTAGTTCATGGAAGAGTAGTCTGCACAGTTATTGTGAATATTAAATGAGCCTTAACGGATACAAGAAAGTAATAAAATCATGCCTAAAAAAGTGGAAGTGCTTCATCAGTGTTCTCATGTATCTGCCAAAGTTACCTTTTTAAAGCAAATGTGTTTAAATAGGGGATTGCTGAGAAGAAAGGGATAGCTTTTACAATGCATTTTCATGTTTTTAGAGTAGTACTGTTTAGCTTAAATAGGTTTTCTTTTTTTTTTAAGCAACTTTGTTTTAGATCTCTGCCCAGCAGCCAGTGTTGCCATAGCAGACCTCAAAAAGCCTTAGAATTTGTGGAGGAGCCATGAGCCCTGGCGAGGGGAGACCTACCTCCAGAGTCAAGGCATTCAAAGACTAGTGTGTGATTTTTTTTAAAAACTTAATGTTTTAATTGAAAACTTTTTTTTAGTGCTTGCAGTCCCTTTATACACAAGGATCAGAAGTGGGGTGTTGGAAGAATGTTCTAAAATATCGTCTATTACACCTGGAAATACATATTTAGTTCCTAAACTTCAGGTTATTTTGCTGTTAGATAAGCAGCATGAATAAGATTTTTTCCAACTTTCTCCATTGAAGGGTCGAGTGGTGGAAAACATCTCAAAGCGATGTGGTGGGTTCCTGAGGAAGCTGAGCTTGCGGGGGTGTATTGGCGTTGGAGATTCCTCCTTGAAGTAAGTCTTAGTCTGTGCCTTAGTCTGTTATGGCAGCTTTTAGCTGGCATTCTCATCAGCGAAAATAAGCCAAGCATATTACTTGTTTTTCTTCTGTTGGCGTCTTCCTGTGTAACTTGCATAGAGTAATGAGAACATCACGATTTTGGAGCCAGCAGGCCTGAACGAGAAACCGAGAGCTCCAGTGTGGTCATAGCTGTGCCCGGGGGACAGGTTACTTCACTTTGCTGTCAGCTCTGTCTTCTGTAAGAGGAGGCAGTTACAGCTCCTTCCTGGGAATGTCACGGGTGTCACAGGAAGTAACGTGTACATAGTCCCAGACACATAATCACATTATATCAGTTCACCTCTTCGTCACTCTCCCATCTTCGTAGGTGCCTTCTCATAATCACGGCTACCTTGTTGTGTAAATTACACTAATTAACAAAATAACTCTTTCAAAAAATTCTTTACCATAACCTGGGATTTTGCTTACCCATAATGGGATATGGTTATCACATTCACTTTGTTCTCATTAGCAATATACCCCATCCAGCCAAATGCTTGCCCACCTCTTCCTGGATAGCCATTATTTATTGGAAATGTTATTACTCCACTGTTAAGGGCATGTGCTTTGAGCTTTTTTTGAGATAGGACGTAATTAAACCTGTATGTCTTTACCCTTGTGGCCTCTAGTGTTGTTTGAGGTTGGCTCAATTGGGACACACACACTGCCCCTTAGAATCTTGGAATGGTCTTTGCCTCTTGGAAACTTAACCATACCAGCATGATCAGTCACAGACCTCCAGTGAGAATGTACAGTGTGTAGTGATTGCAAATACTAGAATATGTAATTGAAACATCTGCTGCACCATTGCTAAGAAAGTCAATTCATGATATCTTCTAAGGATCAAAACACTCCGTCTGTGTTATGGAACACAGAGGTTTTGTTGTTGTTTTTTTTTTAATAAATTCACATCATCAGAAAAATTTTCTGCTTCTTCAAAAGCTTTGTAAATCAGTGGAATAGATTGAGTCTGTTTTAACAGGAAGCTTAAATGTACTAAATAGGTCCTAAGATAACATACCAGAAAACATAAATCTGATAGTGGTTCCACTGAAGAAACTAAAATAAATGTGAAGATGTGGATTGGCAGTGGGGACTGTCAAAGAAACACATTCTCCTCTGGGCACTTGGAATAGAGCCGTGGGTAACAAAACTATCCTGTAAGGCTAAGAATGTTACTGGTTTACCATGAATTTTAGAGCAGAAATCTGTATCAGTATCTATATAAATTTTTAACACTTGAGGCCAGATTACTGTGAGAAGTAACTATGAACGTAATCAAAGAACCATGACTGGAGGAGGACTTCGTTACGGCGTCAGGTTTTGGTTATAGCCACCTAGAACCAGTCTTGGCCTCTGTCGTGCCCTCGCATGTGTATTCTCCTTGTGGTGCGATTTGTTGAGTGAGCTTGTGCTATACCAAGTACTGATGTAGGCACTGGAAATACAGTAGTAATTAGGTTATAATTCGATTCTAATGGGTCTTGCATATATGTTCTCTGTAACTCGTGCTCTATCCTTAGATATGAAGTCCTGTTGATTTTAAATATTGAGATTTAATTGAGCTGCAGTGAACTGTGCATCTTTAAAGTATACACTTTGATGTAGTTTAGATTATGAATATACCCATGAAACTAACATTGTAATCAAGATAATGAATGTGTTCGTGTCCCACAGAGTTTTCCTTACGTGCCTTCATCATCACTCCCTTCCTCCCACCCCTTCCTGCTTCATCTCTGCTCTCTGTCACTGTAGGTTAGCTCGCTGTTTCTAAAATTGTGTATGTAACTGCATACAGCATGCACGCCTTTTTGCCTGGCCTCTGTAACTTAACATGATTGGTTTTGAGAGTCACCCATGTAGTGTGTCAGTAATTTTTCATTCCTTTTTATTGATAGGTAGTGGTCCACTGTATGGCATATAATGCAGTTTGTTCATTCATCTGTTATGGACATTTGGGCTTTTCCAATTTTCACCTGTTACACATAAAGCTGTTATAAAGGTTTTTGTGCAAGATGCATGCCATCATTTTTCTTAGGAGTAGAATGGAGTAGATCATTTGATAGGTGTGTGTTTTACTTTTTAAGAAACTTCCAAAATGTTTCTCGAAAAATTGTACCATTTTACATTCCCACCGGAAGTGTGTGATGCTTCCAGTTCCTGTAAGTCTTTGCCAATACTTGGTGGATCAGTCTTTGTCATTTTAGTCATTCCTATGGTTGTGAACAGTAGTGTCTCATTGTAGTTTTAGTTTGCATTTCTCTAACGACCAACGCTGTTAAGTGTCTTTTTATGTGATTTTTGCTGTCCTTTTCTTTTCTTTTTTTTTTTTTCCATCTATTTTCTTTGCTGAAACGTCTGTTCTGATCTTTGGGTGGATGGTGGTTCTGCCTTTTTTCCGCTGTACTGCTCATCGTCTCACCGTTGGATTTTGAGAGCTCTCAGTGTGCTCTGAATATAACCCTTTACCAGACGCGCTCTGCAAATTCCCTCCCAGTCTTGCTGACCTTTGCGTTCTTACCTGTCTTTTGAAGGTTTTCATTCTGAGGTACTTCGGTTTATCGGTATTTTTCTTATGAATCATGCTTTTGTTATTACATGTGAGATCTTTGCCTAACTCAAGGCCATAAAGGTTTTCTCATATGTTTCTAGAAGTTTTGTAGTTTAGACCTGTGATCCATTTTGACTTGTTTTTTGTGTATGGTGTGAGGTGTAGGTTGATACTAATTTTTTTTGGTCTGTGACATTCAGTTCTTAGCACCATATGTTGAAATGACCACCCATTTCCCACCAAATTGCCTCTTACAGTTTTGTTAAAAATTATTTGTCCAAGTAATTATGGAACTATTTTTATACTCTCAGTATTTTCCATTGATCGAATTGTCTATCTTTACAGCAGACCACACTGTCTTGATAATTATAGCTTTATAATGAGTCTTGAAATCCAGCTTGATTAATCCTTGAACTTAACTATCTTTCAAACCTGTTTTAGCTATACTAGGTTAGTTGCTTTTCCATATGAATTATGGAACCATCTTATAAATTTCTACAAAAAAGCTCGCTGGGATCCTGATTAGGATGATGGTGAATCCATAGATCAATTTGCAGAGACTTGACATCTTAGAAGTATTAAGCCTTTCAACTCATAAGCCTGGCTTATCTCTCCTTATATTTAGGTGTTTTTTAGATTTCCCTCAGTGTGCTGTGGAGTTTTCAGTGTACAAATTGTGCACATCTTTTGTCATATGTCTCCATAAGTGTTATGAAATATTATTGTAAATGACATTGTAAATTCAAATTTTGACCGTTTATTGTTGGTAAATAGAAATATAATTGATTTTTTAAAATGTTTTCCTGTTTTTTTTAAAAAAAATTGTTTACTTATTTGGCTACACTGGATCTTAGTTGAAGTGTGTGGGATCTGTTACTTGCCATATGCGAACTGTTACAAGTCACGCCACCATGTAGGACCTACTTCTCTGACCAGGGCTCGAACTCCAGCCCTCTGCATTGGGAACATGCAGTCTTAGCCACTACACCACCAGGGAAGTCCTCAAAATATGATTGACTTTTGTATATTAATCTTTTGTCCTGCAACTTGAATAGACTCACATTAGTTTTAGTAGTTTTCTTTGTTGATTACTTCAGATTTGCTTTGTAGACAGTCATGTTGCCTATAAATGAAGATTTTTTTCTTTTTCTTTTTTAAGGATCTTTTTTAAAAAAGATTATTTATTTATGGCTGCGCTGGGTCTTTGTTGCTACCTGTGGCTTTTCTGTAGTTGCAGAGACTGGGGGCTGCTCTTCTTTGCAGTGCCCAGGCTTCTCTTGTGGAGCACAGGCCCTAGGGCACACAGGCTTCAATACTTGCGGCGCATCAGCTCAGTAGTTGTGGCTTGCAGGCTCTGGAGCGCTGGCTCAGTAGTTATAGCGGCTAGACTTCTTTGCTCCATGGCATGTGGGATCTTCCTGGACCAGAGATTGAACCTTTGTCCCCTGCATTGGTAGGTGAGTTTGAAAATAGTTTTTCTTGTTTTCAATCATTGCATTCTTTTTTTTTTTAAATTTTATTGGATTATAATTGATTTATAATATTGTGTTAGTTTCAAGTGTGTGGGAAAGTGATTCAGTTATACCTACATTCATTCATTTTCAGATTCTTTACCCATATGAGGTATTAAAGAATAATGAGTAGAATTCTGTATGTTATACAGTAATTCTTATTGGTTATCTACTTTATATATAGTAGTGTGTGTGTGTGTTAATCCCAAGCTTCTACTTCATCCCTCTCTCCCGCATTTCCCCTTTGGTAACCATTAACTTTGTTTTTGAAATCTGTGAGTCTTTCTGGTTTGTAAATAAGTTCATTTGTATCCTTTGTTTTTTTTTAAGTTAGATTCTATAAATGAGTGGTAACATACGATATTTGTCTTTCTCTATGTTACTTCATTAGTATGATAATCTGTAAGCCCATCCATGTTGCTGCAAATGGCATTGTTTTGTTCCTTTTTACGGCTGAGTGATATTCCATTGTATATATACACTACATTTTCTTTATTCCGTTGTCAGTGGACATTTAAGTTGCTTCCATGTCTGGGCTATTGTAAATAGTGCTGTGATGCACATTGGGGTCCATATATCTTTTCAAATTATGGTTTGCCCGAACACAGACCAGGAGTGGGATGATTGAGTCACATGGTAGCTCAGTTTTTAGCTTTTAAGGAACCTCCACACTCATCTCCTTTAGTAGTTGTACTAGTTTGTATTCCCACCAACAGTGTAGATTCCCTTTTCTCCATACCCTCTCCAGCATTTATTGTTTGCAGACTTTGTTGATACTGGCCATTCTGACCAGTGTGAGGTGATACCTTGTAGTTTTGATTTACATTTCTCTGATGGTTAGTGATCCAGAGATGAAATTGCCGACATCTGTTGGATCTTAGAAAAAGCAAGA